TCGCCTTGTGCAACCGGTTTGCTGGCAATCACTGATGAGCTACTGCGTTTTTGTTTTTTCTTTTTGGAAGAACTGTTGATGTTGTTTAGTTTTAATGTATAGTTTGGTATATTCAGTATGTTATATATAATATATATAAAGATATGTAAGATATGATCAAGTGCTTTGGATCTTCCATATGTTGAAGCTATGCAGGCTGCTGTTTTGGACCTTTGGTGTCTATCTTTTGTAACTTAATTAAGGACCCGGCTTTCCTGCCCTCCTACTTCCTATACATTCTAACTTTTTTTTATTTTGGGCGATCAGTTATATCACGTTAATATTTTATATTGATTTTTTTTATAAAGATAATAAGATAAAAAATAATAGTAATATAAAATGTTAACGTGACTGCACAAGTAGAAATGTATAGAAAATGGAAGAAGCTAGGTCCCTTAATTAAACCTGTTCTAAATAAGTTAGCTATAAGATCCTTGATCGAAGGGATAAATTGAACTTAGTACTAGTTTGATATAGCTGAAATTTAAAATAAAAGCAGGTATCAGGAAAAGTTGCGGTCTCTTTACCGACCGATAGACACTAAAATCAACTTTTTGCGCAATTTACGGTGGAAAGAAGTCAAAAAGCTGAAGCGGCTTAATATAACGTTTTTAAGTGACAAAAGAGATCCTTGATCGAAGGGATAAAACGGATTTGTTAGTACCAAATATCAACTAATTTTTATTTTTATTTTGTACCTGTATACCTTTACTCGTGAGTCATGGCGGTTATGCAAAAGCAATAATTAACAATATATATGTTTGGATGAGGACTGAGTAGAGAGTCGGTAGGAAAATAAATGAAATAGGATAAGTGTGAAAATGTTAAACGGTGCAGACGGTGGTGGGGGGAGAGAGGCGGTGGGGTTGTTTGTGGCGACTCGCCAGTGGCCGTGAGCACGTGAGTGGGCGTAAGACCACTGGCAGGTGAGAGCGGCGACCGGCGACTGCCGAGGTTTCTCGTTTTGCCTTTGATTGTGAAGAGGAGAATGAAGACCACGTGAACGAGAAGATGACTACCTGACTATGGACTATACGACAATTTTTAATCGAAGGAGGGTCAAATGATTATGTTTAACTTTATAATTCCGTAAGAAATTATATTTTAATAAATAGTATCATATCATATTTTGTATCATCTCCAATTGAGGGGGTCAAAGGGCCATAGGTTAAATATAGCCTATTGATAAAAAATCATCTAATCCAGTGGGTCAAAGGGCTATAGGTCATACATAATTTATTATTTTAGTTGAATTAATATAGTTAATTAAATAAAATTTTCATATTTAAATAAAATTTTCAGACAGATTGGAAGATTATTGAAAGAGGTGACCATTTGAAAATTATTGAAAAAAATTAAAGGAAAAATTATTGGAAGAGAATAAAATGTGAAGAATTAAAATAAAATAAGGTAAGACAATATGAAATTGTGAAAAATATGTGAGAAATGATGTATGAAAAAAATTAGAATTAAAAAAAAATTCGTTCAAAAAAAAAAGTGGGCTGGGCTCATCAGGTTGGCTGGATATGGTTTTGGCTCGGTGGGGCCCACAAGCTCTTCGGCTTAACCCTCGATTGAAGACGATTTTCGTATTATTTCGAACTATTTTTAGCCCTATAACTTTTTAGCCGGATCGGTTGGAGATGACCTAACTACTTAATCACAAATATTTGTCCCACGAATTGACTCCATACTATATAATATCGATGGCATTGGGAGAAGCCACCAATGAAGATTTAGGGACCCTTTTTTTCCCTTAAATTATTTGTCAGTCTGTAATTGTTTTGTAGCGTCTTCCTATGAGGGAAAGGGGTTATTTAGTTCAAGTCTTTGACTCCTCACAATAATAAACAAATTCAGGTAAACTAACTCTTGGATTGGATCTATGTGTGATGCTACCCTACAACTTCTCATGGAACTTTAGTCTTTTCCTAAAAGACAGTTTGCTTCTCGAAGCCGTGTAATATGGACAAGGATTGTCTGCCCTCCACTTTCGATGTCTTTTCCGTACTTTTTTGTTTGTGTGGTCATGGTTAAGTCACATTAACATTTTATATTACTATTTATTTTTGTCTTATTATATCTATAAAAAATAAAATAAAATATTAACATGATTCAATCGTGATCACACAAAAAAAAAGACATGAAAAAAGCACCAGAAGCAAAGGGCAGACAATCTTTGTCTATAATCTATTCGTCCAGGCATCGACGCAAGTCGCGATGGCATGGGCACCCATCACTTATCGGTTAGTTATCACGACACTGTTCAGTCAGGCCACACTGCCACGCCATACTGCAGGCATGTAAGATATTTCTGTTTGAATGGAATCAAATGAAAACAAAAATTTACTTAAACCATGGCCCTGTGATACTCTTTTGCTTATAAGTATGATGAGATTTTAATTTTGAATACCGCAAATATTGAATTTGATATTTATTTTTTTTATTTTTTATTTTTAACGTTTACATACAATGTTTATCAAAATTAATGAGTGAAAAAAAATTCATGAATATTGTATTAATGATGTTTGGCTCTTCATGGTTCCAAACTTCCAATATGATGTTCTGCGGGCACCAGGCAGCAGGAAGCATGGGTGGGCAGTAGCGCTGATGAAAGCAGACGATTTGATTAATTTCACGAAAATCATTTAACAGATTCTAAACTCCATTAGTAATAATTTCACAAGGTTGAAAGGACTTGAAATAATTAAGATTATGACCTTACTCATATATTCTCTCCATGTGATCACTCCCATACCTGTATTATTGTAGATTGTATCAATTTTCAATTCCATCTGAACAATAAGGTATATGTCCACATTAGTGACGATTTCCGCACTCATTATTTCTACACGTGTAACTTTTTTCATTTTTTTATATAAATTTCTAGATCGAATAAATTACAAGTGAATCAAATACAAGGAAAATGAGAAGTGCATAATCAATCTGAAGTTTCTCTAAAAGAGATAATTTATTGTGTGAACCACATTTGTAAAAGAAAGAATCTTACATGTGCTTGCAATTAAATAATTAAATTACCCTTCATATATATATATATATATATATATATATATTATTAATTGATTTATAATTAAACCTAAACTTTGGTGAAAATTTAGAATATTAATACTAAAAGAAAAATGTGATATCAATATCACATTCATTTGTAATCACATGTGTATATATAGCTAGCTGCTTTATTCATATATTTTTAAATTTTATTATTATTAAGGGGAGGAGGAAGGGTTCAAAACTATTACAATAATTTAGAAGAGGAAAAAGTTTCGAACGCGGAACGCATGCTTTGAAACCCAACACCTTATGTTTGTGTGTATAATTATAATTCATGCGCGCCTTTTGTTTAATTGTTCTTCCAATTAAGCGAGCTACGGACTAAACGTAACAAACTACTTTAGATGGGATTTGCTCCACCCCAACCTTCAAGATCATCACATGCATACTCGCATCTAACCCTAAATTAGCTAATTTATCAGCAACCTCATTTTCTTATTGAAAAATGTGAGACAAGGAAAACCATGTTTTGCAAAAGGGAAGAATTTTTTCAACGAATCTAAAGCTGCCAAGAAGGAGAAAAAATACAAAAGAAAAGTAGGAGATCAAACTGAAAGAGTCACTTTTGAGCTACAAATTACACAACCCTGCATATGGGTCAACTCCACAACAAAGATGAAGCATGAGCTCTGCATAGAAAGAAGTATGAAACCCCAACTCTTAGTCTTAGAGGAACCACACCAAAAAAAAAAAAAAAAAAACCGCAGAACCATAAAGGACCACCTCACAGGTCGCAGTTCCTGGGCTACCCTTAGCAAGCCCATCTGTATCACTTTAATCCAGTTATACAAAGGAGGATGCCTAAGAATAAAAACAATAAAAGAAGCAATACATTACTTAGTTGAAATTCCAAGAGAAACTAAAATTTGCTTATTTAATATTTTTCTGACATAACCAGAAGAAAAAAAAAATCCAAAACTGCCTAATACAAACCATTATAGAACAAAATATACGTAAAAATAAAGAAGTCTTGCTTTCAAACCCTTCTTAGTGCATGTTCTCCATCTTCCATAAGCATAACTACCTCCAAACAAAACGAACATGTGTTCCTTTGTTATGTTTGACTTTTAATATAATATTGGAAAATTAGGAAATTAAAATTGAGTAATAACTATCCGTTCATTGTAACAATTGGCACGACGAGCGATCCATAATTGAAATAGAGAAATGATTTTTGCGCTCTTATTCTTCTTGTGTACTTTTTGGTTTATTTATATTTTTTTCTTTGTTTTATTTGATTAAAGGCTAAAAAATTATGTATGAAAATCTTTTCCTTAAAACTATAACAAAACATTAAGCATGCTTGGAATCTTCGTCCATTCTTTATTGTGAAAATCATTTTAAAAATATATTATATGGTGGCGTTGTTACAGCAGTCTATTTTTTCGGAGACTGGAAAGAGTCACAGAGGCATTTCAGTCTCTCATTGGCCACCATCGTATGATTCACCATCATTATAACTCTCATGGGAGCTGGAATGGGAATTAAATCTGTTCATTTTTTTTTTGTTCTGGTGATACACATGCATGGGAAGTATGTATACCGGAAACAAAATGTATAAGGCAGCTGGGGAAATCAACGTTCTATCGATCGAGATATTATGGCCTTATGGGTCATGAGATTGGATCTTCAACGTGCGGCTTAGCTTATTGGTTGCTCAAAAAATTATAGTTCTCAAAGCTCCCCCTTAACATATTACATATAATAATAGTATTATACACACCACTCTTCCAGCAAATTACAGCAAAACCATTTCAAACAGCTTTTAATTACATAAACAACCACAACAGAAATTGTAACAATCTATAAACTATCAGCAATATAAAGTTAAATACCAAAAAGAAAATAGATAGAGTCAAGGAATTACAAGGGTGCTTTAATTAATTGCACTAGTAGATGAGGCTGTCGATGAGCGACAGAGCATTGCTAGCTAACCTAGCAACATACACAATGCTATTGTTGATGGGGGTCTTAACCGCCGTGCTTACCTTCAGACCATCGAATCCATCAGTGCAAGTAACGTCGTCTGTGATGACGGCACTGACCCAAGTCTTAATATCATCTAACTGAGCTTGCATATCAGCACCCTTGACCCCCAAATTTTTCATTGAACTCAACGAATCTTTAAGCTCGTCGATGGATTCCTTAATACTTTCTAAGCAATCGTTAATGATCCCTTTCTCCGTTGGGGTTAGTCCTGCCCTCAGACAGTTTTGACACGACAGAAGAGGCGTTTTTCGATGCTTGTAGGGTCACGGAGAGGGCATAGATGCAAAGCTTTCGAGGGTTAGATTTGACTTTGGAAGCGTACGAGGAAAGGGATTGGTAGCAAACGAGTGGGTATGTGGTTGAATTGCAGGCGGTTTTGACGTAGGTTTTGTAGGTTTGAGAGGAAGAGGAGGTTGCCACGGTTGTTTGCATGTTTGTCATGATGATGAGTAGAATAATTGGGAGAAGAAATGTGAGAACATGGTGTGAATTTGAAGTTGGGGTTGTGAAAGTTTGAGCACCCATTTTTGTTGTCTGGGATTGATGGGTTTGTGTGTTTATGTGTGTGATGGGATGCCAATGCAAATTTATAGGCACCTCTCAGGTGACTTTGAAACTCCAAGCGGTTTTAAAAATAAAATAAAATAAATAAAGTCCACGCTAGCCATTTTATAAATCCAAATTAGGGTACATGTTCATTCGCTAGCTTGAGGGTACATTTTAGAACTTGCAGTAGACCCATTAAAATAATAGAATTATGATAGAGCGAGCTAATATAATGAAAAACACACGACTGAAAACAATGGAAATATAAGCACATACCATGTCATTCTTCCACAATTTACTTCAAGTATCTTTTTTGAATTTAGAAACATTTTATTTCAATCATGATTAGAGATATTTTTGTAATTTACAAGTTGTTTAGTCTTTTTAAAAACTCAAATTAATAACACGTAACAAAAGCCTTATGTTAGTGCTCTGCCATAACTGGTAACACGTGAATCATGTCAAACCATGACCAATCAACAACCCAACGGAATGACTACGAACTTGACACTTTAGCTGAGAAAAAAAATGTGAGAAAATGTTTAGCGGAAATTTTTTATTTAGAAGAGTTGAGGGGGAAAATGAATTTTTATTAAAAGGTATATAATTAATCAGCCTTTTCTCTGGGAGGAAGAATGTTTTATTGTGACAGTAAAAGGATGATATATTGTGTTTTTATGTAATTGATGGAAAATTTTATTTTTTAAGTTATTAACTTTTTAATACTTATATCTCACTTTTATAATGATATGTGGTGTACCACTTCATATTCCGATCACATCGAAAAGTCTATCCTCTAGAAGGAGGACCCTGTTTCTAACTTTAATTCTATAGGCGGCCGACTCTTCATCAATCTTCTAAACCAAATGAGGGTCGCCGCTGCTTGCATCAGTTGAAGGTTGCTCTGTGGAGCTACGATATGTGATGCCTACCCTACCCAATCACATGTGGATCCTGATATATGATGCCTACCCTACCCAATCGCATGTGGACACGGATCGTATAGGGTCTACATACTGCATGCAGAGTCAAAATCCTAAAAGATGAACGTGCGCGCATGACACATGGGGTCTGCATACTGCATGCAATGCATAGTAGAGTAGCGCGAAACTCTGCTGGACGACCGGCGATGTTCCTGGGCGGTTGATGTGGAGGACCTGTGGATGTGGTCATTTACGTAAGCAACTGATCAATTAAACTGGATATGGAGCATTCACCTCGATCAATGTGCAAAGCAACTGATCAATTCTACCTGTTAATGCTAACTCCTCAATCACATGAGGATAATGTGTGCATCCCTCTTTCTCAATCGATAGTTAATGTTAATTTCTCATTATGCATTTCAACGTAAAAATTTCATAACGAAACCGGCTAATCTCTTAATCTTCATTTGAAGATTATTTCTACAAAAAATCATTCAAATCAGTAATTGTTTAGTCTTTTAATCTTCATTTAAAGACTATCTCTAAAAATCAACATTTCATCATATATGTGGTGCTTGGTATCTACAAATTGATTTATTTGATATATTTGAATGACTAAGGGACCATCAATTCAAATGATGTTTTGTAAGGATGATCTTCAAATGAAGATTGAGAGATTGATCAATTCTGATTATGAAATTTTACGTTGAAGATACATTATTACAAGTGGAGGAATGAGCTCATCCCCAAAAAGGATGCAAATATTATCCTCACACGATTTATGAAAGAAATTAAGCAAGGTTTTGTGTTTCTTTCCCATTAATGTAATGACCATTATTAATTAAAAAATTTCTAATTAGGATTAGGGTAATGGTTCAATTCCCTTAATCGTTACAAAAACAAAAGACGAGAAGTTTATGCAGCCAAAAATAAACATAAAGGAAAATAAATTAAAGCACAAAACCCCTACCGCAACCTGTGCAAGAAAATAATTAAATAGAGTTCTTGACATAGAGGTCCCTGACAACTTTGTAAATATCATGTTTACCTCTTCTTTTTCATGATTTTACCTTTCTGCCTTGGAAAAATATGGTCTTCAGAAATTTTCCGGTGATTGTTGCTTCTTGGACATTTTTTAAAGAGGGCAAAAAGTAATTAAATTAATATTCCCACTTTGCAGCACCATAATTTTCGAGTGAATTAGTATTAACTTACAATTAAGATTCCAGTTCCACAATTCATGTGTTTGTGTTTCCATTCCAATTATTTGGCCTCTGTTCCAAGTACCAACTGTACTTATATAAGTCCGGGTTTCTTATTCAGATAATTAAATTTATATTTTAAGTCTTTTTTAATTATTTATAATGCTATACCTTCTTTTTGCTTTTCTATTATTTGAGTTTTGTTAAAGCCAGTTCGAATCTCCTTCTCTGGTATCAGGCTGTTTTTTATGTGCAGGTTATTAGAAGTTGAAGTCACTTCTTTAGTTTTTGAGTGAACTTGAGCCACAATTAAGAAGATAAATTAATTACCTCTATTTTCTTTATTTCGTTCGTTGCATGTTTTTGAAGGACTTTGCATAATCTAAATTTGTATTGAAATAAGCGGCTGCACCTTTTATTAAGTTAGTTATTACAGACTCATATTCTATAGGACACTTTTTAAGTTTGATTTCAAAATCACACGATGGTTGTGCTGAAAAGTGTCTATGAGTCTTTCTTGCCTTTGAAAGGTAGATTGTTGTAGCAAAGCCACCAACCAATCCATTTTTTACTACGCATTTACAAAGTCACAACAAAGCTACAATATTAATCAAGTTGAGCCATATCTAAGTATAAACTCATTAATTATGAATATATATTTTCTTTGTTATATATTTACTTGAATTGAATCTGAAATCTTTTTTAATTAGTTTGTACGAACCATGGCTAGTTTCAAAGGTGTCCTTAATTTAGGATTTTTAGCTTTATTGTTTGTTTATCTAGTGCCCCTCCCGCATTATTAATTTTGATATGTATCGATTGAAAGTTGTGATATTTTGTTATGAGTAATGTTAGGGAGACTAAATTTATAGACAAAATATTAGTTTGTAAATTTTATCTACAAATTATTCTCCCTATCATTACTCTTACGATATGGGTAATGCTAGATCTGGATGATGTGGACGATTTGATTATTACTCAAGTGATGATTAACATGCTCATTTCCTATTGATAACACATTATTTAGTTTGCAAATTTGTTATCCCTAGCATTATTCTTTTAATATGTATTCAGAGTAATGTTAGGTAAACCATTTCTTAGACACATTTGTAAACCATGTGATATGTCACAAATAAAAAATAAACACATTAATCAATACTTAAGTAATAATCAAATCATCAACAACCACGTTACACAGTTACATTATTTAAATCGATGGTCTCGTCAACATTATCCATATAGCAGCTGCTTATTATATCCATGTGGAGTTTGGACTCTTCCATGCATTAAATCCCTTTCGGAAGCACTACATTTAAGGAGAGAGATTTATTTGCATACACGTGGACTCAAAATCTCAAGTTGCGGGAAGACAGATACAAACTACGCACATGTTGAATGCCTTCACTCACCAAGCAAGTTGGGATCGATTGATTACAATGATTTAGATAAGTTCGAGTAAGGCTCTTTGGATCACATTGCGTTAGAGTTTAGACCCCAATTGACCAAATTAGAGCAAGTTGACGAGAAACCAACAAAACCAACTTGTAACTCGATATTATGTTAAATAATACATGTATCTCTAGCTTTTGGGCCCAAAAAAGACTTTTCCATGTGCCTTTTAGAATTGGTTCTATAAATTAGTCATTCCCTTCCTACTCCCTTCACACTCTTTTCACCATAGTTTTACGGTATTCTATGTAGGGATGGGCAACGGTTATGACGGCAGGTAATCATGGTTATTTACCCATAACCGTTTATGCTCATACCCGCATAACCTTTACCTATTGGATAATTGCCTAAACGGTTATACTCATACCCATAACTGTTTATAAACAGTTAACCATACTCATAACCGCATACTCATTTAACCGTAACCGTTTAATTCCCGTTTACCCATTAATCATTTTTAACCCGTTTATTTTTTTTTTACCATTACCCCTTTTTCACCCTTCTACATGTTTTTTAACAGCTTGAAAATTAAAAAAAAAAATTCATAATTTTTTTTTTGACAATTAAACACCGTTATAGGTACATTCATCATACATTTCCATATTTTAATTTTTTAAGTCCTTATACCATTACAATAATTGAAATAATAGTTTACGGAAGATATTTTTAACTGTTACCAATGAAGGTAAATATAATATTTGCTAAGTATTATTGGGTTACAAAAATTGTTTAGAAAACATTTAAGTCAAAGCATTTCTATCAATTTCACGGTTACTCGCAAGGAATTTAAATTAATTTGGCCAATTCCTTGATGATGAGAATCATCATTCCTGTAGCAGTGTTATTGAGAGAATGACCGATGAATTCCTTGCTAATTTATTGGGTGCTAAGTATTATTGGATCGAGAACATGGTTTGTGTTAGTTTTACATATATAAAATAAATGGGTAAACGGTTACCCGTTTATAACCGCGGTTAATATCTATAACTGCCCATTTAAACTTCACGGGTAAACGGTTATATCCATAACCGTTTATTTATTTAAATGGTTACCCCCGATGAATTCCTTGCTAATTTATTGGGTGCTAAGTATTATTGGATCGAGAACATGGTTTGTGTTAGTTTTACATATATAAAATAAATGGGTAAACGGTTACCTGTTTATAACCGCGGTTAGTACCTATAACTGCCCATTTAAACTTCACGGGTAAACGGTTATATCCATAACCGTTTATTTATCTAAATGGTTACCCATAGCCATAACCGTTTAATTTAAATGGGCGGGTAACTACGGTTACCCTTAACCAATGGGTATTTGCCCATCCCTAGTTCTATGTAGTTGAGCACATTACTTGGCTCACAAGCTTTCTCAACCAACTCTAACTAACAAGAGATTTTTTAGTGTGATCATCACATAGGATGGTACACTACATATCGTTATATAAATGGTGAGATATGTGTTTTAAAAAGTTAATAACTTAAAAAATAAAATTTCTCACCACTTACATAAAAACACAATATGTACCACCCGTATTTGCATCACAACTAAAAATTTCTCCTAACTAACTATTCAACTTATTAGATCATCCAATCCTTCTTAACAATTTTGATGAGCTGGCATTGATGAGCTGTCAGTCTAACTATAGTCATCATAAAATTCTAATAATTTACAAAGATTACGACTGACAACTGACAAGGAAGGGGTAGCTCTGGAAGCCAGATTGGGCCCAAACAACCACAAGGTGAAGTCGGGTTCATCAACTTGGTTTCTGGCGGCTCTCATATGATTCAGTTGATAAATTAAAATTTTAAATGATTTGAGATTGGAGAATTATATGCAATCTCATTAGTGAATATTTTACTTGCCATTCATAACCTTTTATTTATTGCATGATTAATTTTTGGGTAAATTACATAGTAGCCCCTCAGGTTTGAGGTCTATTGCAATCTTATACAACATTTTTAAAATATTTCACTTTCATACCTCATGTACTATTTTATTTCAATTTCATACAACCGTTACATTTTCCATTCATGGATCTGTTAAATGCTGACGTGGTTGTCACATATATGCCACGTGGCTGCCAAATGTCTACCACGTGGCAAATAAAATAATTTTTTTTTAAAAAAAAAACCTGAAATTGGAAGAAGAAGAAGAAAAAAAAAAGGGGACCGAACCCCTGCAACCCAGAAGAAGGAGGAAGAAGAAGAAGAGAAGAAGAAAGAGGAGGAGGAGGAAGAAGAAGAAGAAGAAGAAGAAAAAAAAGAAAAAAAAAGGGACCGGAAAGGACCGAACCAGAAGGAGGAAGAAGAAGAAGAGAAGAAGAAGGAGGAGGAGGAGGAAGAAGAAGAAGAAGAAGAAAAAAAAAAAAAGGGACCGAACCCAGAAGAAGAAGAAGAAGAAAGAGAAAAAAAAAAGATATGTGGCAGACAGGTTTTAAAAAAAAAAAAAAAATTATTTTATTTGCCACGTGTCAGACATTTGGTAGCCACGTGGCATATATGTGGCATCCACATCAGCATTTAACAGATCCATGGATGGAAAATGTAACGGTTGTATGAAATTGAAATAAAATAGTACTTGAGGTATGAAAATGAAA